CCCCTCCCACCCACCCCCTACCCCCCGTTTATTCGATAGCTTGGAGTATGGTTGTGTGGAGCTACCCTACACGTTAAAACTAAAAGACTCCTCTAGCCGTTACAACGACTTACCGAACTCAGATCGAATTACTTTGACAACGCAAGACGAATCATGTAAACCACTGATCATCTGTCAGCCACCTTGAAATCGAGCTAAGGAGACCTTTCCGGGGTCTTTGTCTACGTATCTGGCATGCGTACGTGCCTGCAATGATATAGTATGTGAGGCAGCGTGGTGGAATCAAGCTCTTGTCAAAATAATCAAAGTGAAGAAACCTGCTTTTTTCCGCAGGTTTGTGAATTTTTATTAAATTTTTTATTTTTGGCTCAACACCTTTCATGCCCATTAAAGAACTCATTTCTGTGTGGATTTTCCCGAAAAACGATAATTAGAGGCAGAAAAAATATAAATTTTCAGTTACCACCGACTCTTAAGCTAAGGAAATAACTAATCTTTGGCGGCCATTTTCTCACTAACTTTTCCTCTGAAACCGGTGACCCCCACCTCCTTCATTCGCAAATATCTCGACTTGTATTCAAGATAAATAGATTTTTTTTAAATCCAAATAAAAATAAGTGAACAAGCTTGAAGATGATACCAATAACTCTACATGCCCCAAAATTGACGAGAGCCTGATTCCACCATGCTGCCTCACATATTTTCCTTGATTTTTTAAATATTTTTTTTTTGGGGGGGGGAGGGTCTATTCTTTTATTTTTCTTTCTTTCTTTTTTTCTATTCTTTTATTCTTTTATTTTTCTTTGGATGACTTGATCCAATACTTGCTGGTCCATTTGTTTGCGAGCGGAGAAGCAGATCGGCTCGAAGACGCGCGTACTTTTATCAGTCTTTGGGGGAAAACAAGAATGACCAACAGAAACAACGGAATTTTTGGACGCTCTCCAACCAAACGCTGACAGATTCTACGTTGTCTAATAATTATTATTTTCACACTGGCAGTGACAGACTGACACGATGCGAAAACTGGGCAGGTTTGTTTCCTCATTAATTATTTTGAGATTCATTACTTTGAAATTTGACTTTCTTTTCTTCGATGAGCCTCTTCATTTTCGACTTTTTTTTATCGTTTGCATTCTTCTGATTTGAGAGTTTTACTGAAATAATATGACTTTTTTCGGTAATTGTTCATATTGGTTGTTTTTGTTGTTTTGTTCTGTTTGTTGTTGTTGTTGTTGTTGTTTACTTGTTTGTTTGTTGGGTTTTAGATTTGTTTTGTTTTGTTGTTTTGTTGTTTTTGTTTGTTTGTTTGTTGTTGTTGTTGTTTGAGTTTGTTTTTGTGTTGTTGTTTTTAGGGGGGGGGGGTTGCTTGGTTTCTTGGTTTGTTTGGAGTTGTTTTGTTTGTTTGTTTGTTTTGTTTGTTTTTTTGTTGTTGTTTTTTTTTTGGGGGGGGAGTTAGTTAGCGCACTAGAAGAATGAAAAAATAAGAAGCTACTTATGCAATGTTTTTGCTTGAGAGCATGCAGCAAGCCTCAGTCTAAAGTGACCGCGCAAAGACAAACTCTTGAGTGTAAAAGTGTTCCCCCCGACATGTCCTGTTTATTGTGGGGAAAATGTGCAAGTTCTTTGAATATAATATTCCCCCAAAAAAGCAAGAACAGACAGATGTAGAAATTCATTCGTACCAACTGCAGTGAGGTTACTGAACACACAGTGCTACAAATGAGAGAGAGAGAGAGAGAGAGAGAGAGAGAGAGAGAGAGAGAGAGGGGGGGGTGGGAGAGAGAGTGGGAGAAAGAGAGAGAGTGGGAGAGAGATTGAGAGAGAGAGAGAGAGAGAGAGGGAGAGAGAGAGAGATTTACGAAGTGTGTTATCACAGCTCGTAAAATATGTATTTACAAATATCCTGTCTTGCTGGTGTGTACGAGTGGGTGCACCTGAGCTTTGTAACGACTCCTGCCATTGTAAACAGCCAAGACAAATTTCTCCTTGTGAGATAAATAAATATTGTTGAGTACGACCTTCAAGTGGCTGTTATCAACGAATTCTAGGAACAATAATATTTTCTCTCAAACTAACCGGATATGCGGCTTTGTGCAGACGAGAGAAGAAAACGACAGATCACGTGATAAAGCGACGGATAAAATGTGTAGTTTGTTTGATTTGAACTCGATTGTGTCAAGTGTTTTTTGTTTCACCGCAACAAGCTCAGCAAAGGAGAGACAGTTCTCTCAGCTAAAGGGATCTGGCTATTGTCTCTGTGTCTCACTCTGGAATTAAGGTATCAAAATTAAACGCAATTCTATCGTTAAGTAAGTGCGTTGTGTTATTGTTAGAAGGATCTGGTTTTGATTCTAGAGTCTAGTTTCTTTTCTTTCTTTTTTTCTTTTTTTTTTTTTTTTCTTTTTTTAGTTTATGAATAATAGGTTTGGGGGTGTTTATACAAATTAAACAGAGAAAAGTGACAATAGATCGGAGATTCGGAGCAGTGTCAGTGCAGAACCGA